TGATACAACCGGTCCCAGAATATTGTGTAACGTATATACTATTTCATTAATTCTAGATTACTGTGGATGCGATAAAAGAATTACTGAAATATATGAAAACTAAAGATTTCGTGAAACAGTATGGTGATCAGTTGTATCTTAATCTGCAAAGACTAAATCAAGATTTTTTGGAATTGTTTTTTTTGTGCCAGCGCCAAATGTGTGGTGGGACACAGAATATGACTGCGTATGAATACAGTTATAATGTTAGCAGTTTGACATGTTTACGGTCCTCGCGACTACTGATGAAAAAGCAAACAAATGTTTACGAGGTTGAAGAATCCCTCCCATACCTTAACGGAAATGAACAATTGCCTGAGCGACAATCAAACGACTATATTGACGACTGTTCCGTGGTTTGTTGAAGTTTAACTTGAACGAGTTAAATATAATTTTGGACAATGATATAGTTATGATTTCACTTGTTTCTAATGTCAAGAAACTAACCTACGCAACTCAGGTGGCTTGAAGCTACCAAGCGGGAGGACATTGTCAGACTATAACAATTTCTGTGCACCACAATCTGGCTGGAAAAAAGATAACCTTGAATTAATGAAAGATCAGTTTCAGAAGAAGAGACCTCCAAAGCGAGCTCATCTAGGCGGATTATTTTTTGATGAGATGAAAATTAAGGAAGGATTAGTGTTTCACACTAAGAATTGGGAATTGATTGGATTCACAGACATATCTTTAGATGTTGTTGGTGTAGAAACAAAGAACGATGCGCTGGATAGGCTGGCAACACATGTTTTACAATTCTTTTTCCATAGTACTTTCTTTAACTTTGACTACCCATGTGCTTTTTTTCTGAACAAAAACAAGACTGCTTTGGAAATAAATAGCTTATTTTGGCTTGGAGTTAGTATGCTGCATACATATGGTTTCGAAGTTATTCTTAGCTGTTGCGATGGTGCCTCGTCAAACAGATAATTTATTGAACTAAATACTGGAGACAGCGAAAAATGTTCGTGTTTCAATCCGTTTTCTGGCAAACCAATTTTCTTCTTCTCCGATCCCCCCACTTAATAAAGAAATGACAAAATAACCTCTACAGCAGTGGGTACAAAGCCGAACATCCTCGGTACACAAGAACCCTCCTCTTCAATGAAAATGTTATCCTATGGAACCATATATACGCAGTATACCAAAGAGAAAGCAGAAGGCACCTATACGTCACCGATCTCCGGAAAGCGCATGTTACCATCGACAGCATTAGTAAAATGAGAGTCTTGGCTGTCCACACACTGTCAGAGAAAGTAGCAAAGGAAATGGAGGAATGTGATCGAGAAGCAACTGAAGAAACAAGAAAATATATCAAGGCCTGTGTGACATTTTGGAATATTTTCAATGACCCGGCACCGATGAAAACATCAATCTATAAAAGAATGACGGAGCTAAATAACATCCTGGATTATTTCACTACATGGCGAGAATGGTTAGCGCTGAAGTATAAGACAAAAACAGAGCAATCACAGCACTTCATTTCATGGCAGTCGATGTCAGATCTGAATTAATTGTTTTATATAGTTTGAAATATATTTACGTATTTTATTTGTTCTAATGCTCCCTGCATATTTTTGTCACAAAAATCAATATTTATGTCATTCATTTTAAATTATATAGTGTACAATCAATGCGTTGAAAGAGCTTCTGGATTTCATATGTACTCCCAAGTTTAAAGACATATATATATATATATATACGATGACGAATTGTGTATCAATATTAAAAGAATCAGCCAAGACCACGTCGAAAGCTATTTTTCAGCACATAGACAAATGTGTGGCGGTACCCAAAACATGACGGGATACACCTATGGATACAACATCAACTGCTTATCCAACATAAGTTCGTCAAAGTTACTAATGAAAAAGCAAACGAACGTTTACAACATAGCAGAGGCGCTTCCCGTGCTGAACAACAGCGAACAATTACCCAAACGTCGTACCAAAGAGTATTTGGGATAAAATTCCATGGTATGTTGAAGTCAAATGAACTGCTTGCTGATAATAGCATTGTAATGTGAACAATAAGAAATTAAAATAGACCTTACCGTTTATTGACGTTTCACCCAATGCCAATGGCTTCGTTTTCGTGTCAGGTATTTACTCGTGTTAATAGGGTTAAGAACGTACTTGCTATTGGGCTTAAGATCAACGAGGATCCAGATTGTGAAGAAAACATGGGAATATAACCTTTGTGTGCGCCTGTTATGCCAGAACTAGTAAACACGAAAACGAGGCCATTATGTCAAAAATGAATAAACGGTAAGGTCTATTAATGCAAGGGGTAGTAAAACTTGTTTTACTACGCCCTGATTAATGTGTAATTAGAATGTATTCTAATGTCTAATGAAAAATATAAATATATGGGGACTATATAGTACCTCATAGAGAACTATAATTGAGATTTGGGGATTTCATTCGAAAGACCCGATATATACCGGATGTTTTTTTGTAATTTTCGAACATAAATTTATATACACTTTTAGACCTATTCATACATGCAGGAGCAGTTGTGAAAAATGTAACATTAGGCCCTCTGTCAGGAATGGAACCTGTGATTCCAGTGCAGTGCACAAACCAAATGAGACACAAGACTAGTTGTGGTTAATGCCAGGGCGCAGTTTTGCGAATATTTTGCTGTTGGCTATCGCGCACCTGACCCTAGCTTTTTTTAAAAGTTCTTGCACGGGTCAGGACAAAAAATAAGCCATCTTGAATATCAGTGATACCACGAATAATAAGGGAATCGTCAATTGCTCCTGGTTAGGTATAGAAATTTAGATTCGAAAATTCCATCTACAAAATCCATCCACACATAGTCATAGAGAACTATGCATGGCGTTTTCTAACGTTTTTTTGCCATTGTTTGAAATCCTTTAGACTTTATGCATGTTATTTATTTATTTATTTATTTATTAAAGTATATTT